GGATCATTTCCTGTTCATCAGGATCAAGCAGGGCGCCTGCATATTGCCCTTATAATGGATGCAGCAGTTGAGCACCCTGCCTGGTTTTTGCAGTGGTCCTACACTGGAAACACGCCCAGCATCACACAGCAGCACCCACTGCTACTTGGGAAAGAAATGCCCATGTTAAAAGGTGTGTGAGCAGTGACACCTCCCTGTCTTTGAGCTGTACAACGGTGACTGGAAGAACAACCCAAGGAAATTACACCCAAGACTGCAAGAACAGGTGATGCTCAATGAGCACCTTCCAATGGGGATGTTGGGCATGGACCTACAGCAGGCTGGGTGGCTGGATCCCAGCTCTCAGAGCAGCCTACGGTTCAGTTACTGTTGGTGAAAGGCTCAGAGATGCCACCCTCCAGCCTGGGCAACCACCACAGAGCACCAACACCCTGTCAGCAAACAGCCACACAGCGAGCCCTGATGTGGATTCAATGCTCTCCATACAGAGATTCCCAGAAACACTTCCCTGTGAGGGGCTCCCAGCCCAGCCTGAGGGAAAGTGGATCAAGACCAAAGCACTTTGTAAGTGAAACGCTCTGGACTGCTTGGGCTCTCTTTCAAGTCTTGTCCATGAAGGCTTAGGCAGGGACCCTGCCTGCAGTGATGCTCATTCCTGCCTGCCCCAGGGACGCACGGCAGCCCTGCCTTCACACCCTGACACAGACGGTCCCAGCACAGAGAGGTGCAGGAGCGAGCTCTGGCACAGAGAGAGATCCTCCCATAACCAAACCAATACCCCCAGGTGTCAGCACCTCTGCTATAAACCCTCTGCAGGCAGCCAAGAGCAGCAGCAGCAGAATCCAGGCTGGACTGTGCGTGTCGGCAGGCGCAGGGGAAGTCCCTGCAATAGCGTCCCTCCTGCACGCAAGCTGAAGTGGGGAAGCAGCTTATGATGCTCACTGCAAACAGAGGCATCTCCCAGAGCTCTTTGCTGGAGAAAGCTGCTGCTAAAGGAACTATAAGAAGAAAAAAGAAGTTAGCTGCTGCTTGTCCCCCCCGGTGAGGATTCAGCAGCACAGCATAGCAATGGCTCGACAGCAAGGGGAACTGCACCCGGGCACTTGCTGCTGTGGAGAGACCATCACTGGGAAACCTGGCTGCAAGGCCAGACTGGTTAGAACGGTTTCAGTGGCCACACTGGACCTTTCCGCTGCTTGTGTGTGGGTGTCGGGTGATGAGAGCACATTTAGCAGGACCTGGCTGCCTTCTGCGGGAACAATCATCACCAGAAACTGCATTTTCAGACACATTCGGGTGATTCCTCACTCCCTCGAGTGTTTTACTTCCAAGAAACATTGCATTAACCTCGCCCCAGCAGAGTGCTGCTATTTGTCACCGAGAGGCTCCAGGCACCTTGCTTGGCTGTAACACGGCTGAAGCAAAGTCCCATTTATTCCTGCCAAAAATACCTCAACCTAAGAGACAAGGCAAGGCTGCGGGAGGTGGGAATGTGCAGCCTGAAGGAGAGAAAGGAAGGGATTAATTGCTGCCCTTGGCTACCTGACGGGTGAGGTGTAGTCAGCCTCCTCTCGGATGCACGCAGGAAGAGGACAAGAGGGAACAGTAAAAGGAAAACAGGTACAAGATGAAGGGAACAATCATTCATCCTGAGAGTGATCAAGCCGAGAAGCTGCGACATCTCCAGCCTGGGAGATGCTCAAACCTCAGAAGGGCTGGTCCCGAGCCAGATGCACCAGCTTTAAAGTTAGTCCAGCTTTGGGGTTGGCTCAGAGCCCTCCCGAGGTCCTCTCCAACCCCAGCTCTTCTGCAGTGCTCATTTCCTGCCCCAAACCTCACAGTTCAGGTTCCGGCCATCGGGACTCAGCAAACAGGACTCAAAGAGACACGGGTGAAACATGGGGCAGAGAGGGGACACACAGCCCTGCCAGCTCCTGGCCCTCCCAGGGGCTAGGGCATTGCTTCAACACACATTACAGCATACACTGTTCGCAGTCCCTTCAGAGGATCAGTGTGCCCCAGCACAGGCAGTGGACACGGTTTCCTCCGCTTCCAGCAGAGCTGTATAAACAGGACACGATTATCTTGTAAAAGTGTTTGTGTTTTTAAGGCCACATCTCCTGCACTACAGAGAGCTCACCCCCCACGAAACGGGATCCAAACACATATTTACATGTGCTCATGCCTGCCAGCAGCTTCCTCCCAACCACAGAGCCGCCCGATGGAGAGCCCAGTGCAGCACTTGGCTCTTCTGTGGGTCTGCTCCCTATCAGATTCCACCGCCCCAGCACAAGCCCTATGGGACCAACCTGTTTCAGGAAGAACCCATAAGGGAAGGACTCAACCTTTCATGGCTTGCTCCAGCCCCATGATTGCTGTGTGCCAGGGGAGTTTTGGTACCCAGCCAGGAGAGCCTGCCCTCCTGGGATGCTGCCCTGACTGCATCCCCTTCTCAGAGCAGCCCCTGATGTACAGCTCCAAGCATCTTCAATGGGAGCCAATTCTATGTAAGCAGACAGGGCTGGTCCCACCCTGCCCACAGCTCTCCACCCACAGAAACTGCCCCCAGGGCCAGCCCTGAACTCCCCTTTTTTGCCTCCAAAAGTGGAACAATACATGGCTGTGAAGTGGTTTCTCTTCAGAGAACTCAAATCCTTTCCTTCTGTTTTGACTGAGAACCCCTAAAAACTTTGAGATGCTGCGATGACTAAGAGGCAGAGTAGGGAGATAAATAAAGTAAGTGAGAATAAACTTCACTGGCTTCAGTCATGGAGAGAATTCATTTGCATCCCTGAGAACATCCTGTATCACAGCATCTTCTTCCACCATCACCTGGCAATTTCACTCCCAACTCCCAGTGACAATTGTTGCTGCTAACTTGATAACGTCACTTCTGTCTGGCTTTGGAGGAGACGAAGCATCTCAAGCACTATTCATCATTTCCTAAGCAATCTTCCTGCCTTTGTTGCTTGCATATGCACTGAAAGAGAAGTGCACAGATCTTAGTCTTAATAGCCAAGTCAATTGTTGGGAAGCAGCGCACAGAGCACGAGGAAAGCCTGGCAGTTGGGAATTGACACTGCCAGTGCCTCTGCCCACTGCCAGAGCAGTGTAAAAGTGTTTCATCAACCCCTCTACCTCTCAGACTGCAGCAAAACACTTGAGATTCCAGTGAAACCGGGTTATTTTATGAAGCCCGGAGGCATGCTGGTGTGCTCTGCACACTTGGCATGCTGACAAGAGTCCACTAAACCACTGCAGCTATGCGATTCTGGGAATTGCTGTCCCCTGCCCTCCCCAGTCCAATGATGCCTTGCAGCATCCCTCCTTTGTGCCATGCTCTCCACCAAGGGGTAAGGAGGGTCAGGCCTGGGATGAAGGCTCGGCTCCCTGGGCAGGACCCCACTCTTACAAGTTTAATCACAGCTGATTAGCGGTGGTTGGGATGAGTTTGGAAGAGTCTCCCAGCTGCAAGTATGACTCTTTTTCTAGCCCCAGTGCATCTGTATTTGAACACTGGCCCTGTTATGAGGGGTACATCAACAGTACCTGAAAGGGCACAGAGGGGAAGCAAAGGCTTTGCCAACAGTAGTATTTAGGACATGCCTTCAGAGATAGAGGTACCCCCAGGACAAGTCCATCTTTGATGTCTTTCTAAAGCAATGAAAGCAAGACACAAAACCAGCGCACAGGCAGCCTGATCAACACCGGGACAAGATTCAGATCCCTTGTCAAAATGTGCTAAGACCACACAAGCTTCAGGGATTCAGCTCCAACGCACCCACACGATGCCCATTTGCAGCTTGCCACACGTGTAAGCCTTTGCCTCACGAAGTCAGAAGACAATGACACACAGGATCCAAGCATCTGCTCACCAGAGAACCGGCATCAGTGCCATCTGGAGAGCTGACACCCTGCACACCAGACCAAGACATCATGCACTCCTGTTCTGCAAGTACACCAGGACTCTGCCTCCCAGACCTGGAGACTAAAGCATGTACCTGGCACAGGGGCGGTCACCACGCCAATGCTCCTGCCATGCTATCACAACACATAGCTCCTTCCTTGGCTTCCCCAGTGGGGACCACACCACTAATCCTTGTTGCCGTCTTCCCCCATCCCACCAGTGAGATGACACCAAGAGAGTGAAGCTGGGGCGTTAATTCCTTCCAGTCTGAAGCCAAATGAGTAGAATTCACCGTGAGCAGAAGCTTTCCTACAGTGCTCATTTGCACTGGAAACCAGAGCTAGAAACAGCTCCAAATTACATCCTAGAAGATATACAGTACACAATCACAGGGGAGGCAGGTTTTGCCAAGAAGGAAGACAGCACAGAAGGGTGGAAAGGCAGAATGGATGGGGGGGGAGAAAACAGAAAATGGAATGAAGAGAACAAGAACTGAATTACTGACATATATACATCCTCATCACAACTAGGGGATTTGGCATCTTCTGAAACACTGCAATGTACAGCATTTTCACCCTCCTGAAAACCAGCTTGCTTCTTCCCATACACATCAGCTGTGTGCTTGCAGGAAGAGGCTGCACCATTCTGTGTGGCAGCTTCTATTTTCTGTGCAGTTACAAATAAATAATTCCTCAGATGGGGGACCAGGCATCTCTTCTGCCACGCAAACATGGTGCTTATGTACAGTGCATGCTGTGGCATTAGCAGTGTAAATAAGGCTTCAGTCATCCTGCACAGATAAGGTGCAATGCAAGTTAACAGTGTGGTGTGGCAGCCCCCCAGTCTCAGGCATATAAGAAGCCAAGAGGCACTTATAAACAATATAAAGGAACTGGCTTTCTCCTGCTCCAGCCACCTATTTCATAATGCAACTTTGGAGCTGCTGTGGCTCTTTAATACTGCTACCAGGAGGATCTGATCCACCACCCCTCCAGCCCATGGTGGCACTAATCCTTTCCCTCTCATTTAAAAGATAAAAGGTGCTGCCTCCCCCACCCACAAAGCCCCACGCACCACTGCAGTCCTGCAATACCTTTGTCCGACATCACTCCCCATGGATCCCATCCTTCGAGCCGGCAACAAGGGGCTCACCCCGTGGACATCTTCTGTCGTTGCTGGTGGGACAGTTTTTACATGGGAATTGCTCTCAGAGGGGGAATTCTTCAGCTTGGCTCTTGCCATCCTGCGAGCTTTGGCTGCCTCTGTGACTTCCTCCTCTTTCCCCCCTGAACTCTCTCATACATAGCAATCCTCACCGCAATCAGTTCAGAGCTGTCGGCACGTACCATCTCCTTCCTTCTTCTCTCTCCCCAGTCACGGCTGCTCAGTGGAACAATCCTGCCCTGTGCATTTATTTTGGTGGTGAGGGGAGTCGAGGCAAACTCTCTGGCCTTGCTGCTGCGACGGATTTGGTGCAAAAGGACCGAGCAGACATCCACAATGCAGAGAGCCCTGAAATGGCTGTTTATGAAATCACGTAATTGCCTTGGCTGCCTCCTTTAAAAAGAGGATTGCATTGCTCTTATCACCACGAGCAGGGCAGGGGCTGAGGGATTATTTTTTCCCCATCCCTGGCTTTAAGTAGCAACGTGAGGGGGAGGAAGCTATTTTATCTTATTCCTCTGTGTGAAGAGCGGTGCGTGGACTGCATGCCAGGGAATAGACTCAGCACGCTTGGCTCGCAGACACAAAGCAGCAGAGCAAGGTCCCCTCCTAAACGCACCCGCTGTGAACTGAGCAAAGAACAACTTGCTGCTGCTTCCCTCTGAGCAGCCCCAGGGGCTCAATCCCTGCTCCCCTGGCCAGGCTAAACAGTGCCCAGAGAGGGGCATGCACCATGTCCCAGAACAACCTGGTGTTCCCTCTTCAGGTGAGAACAAAACCTGCTGCTCCTTGAGTGCGCTCAGCATTGAGTCCTTAAGATGTCAGGCAGAAAAGAGGATTCACAGTGGCCAGGGGAGTCCTGCACAAGGGATAGACCTGTGAGGGTCCCAGCGTGCAGGTGAGACTGCAAAGGGGTGGTCGCGCATCCTGCCCTCTTTTGGGGATGCCGCTAGTCTATACCTGCTCCTGCTCGTGCTTGATGGCAGCCTTCAACACCGAGCATCTTCAAGGGGATCATGAGGGCTGCTGCAGCGTGCACAGCACCCCATGACATGCCAATACCACCCCATGACATGCCAATACCACCCCATGACATGCCAATACCACCCCATGACATGCCAATGCTGTTCTTCCTCCTAAGATCAGTACCTAACCATGACTTGCCCCTTGGCACAAAGGCAATCAGTCCCTGGCTGCTCTGGGAAGAGAAACTAAGTCCCTGTTAACAAAATCCTTCTTTCCTTACTGAGAGCATTATTTTTTAATGGGATTTCACTGTAAGATATACTTTATTTCAGCATTTTGAAATATAAAATGGATAAAAACCCACAGCCCATTTACTAATGTGCCAGCTTTCAGCATACATTTAATTTCTCCTTTTGCCTCAAAATGATTCATTAGCTCAATGCATTCATTTACTAAGTCATTCCTTTCTGCTTCATGGTTTGCTTCAGCTTCATCTTCAACCTATTGCCCTATATCTGTTCACTTCAGGGTGCTGTTCTCAAGCTCCAAATGTGATTACTGCTGTTATTAACCCTCTGGATGGGACTGTGGCCAGCTCAGGGTCTGACAAATCCTCCTGCAAAACAGGAGCCACTGAGACTGGGGCAATCAGGTCTCTCTTTTAGGGATCTCTTTGCAAATTCTACACTGCATTCATTGTATTCCTCATTCCAGAAGAATTTCAATGTCAGGATTGACATCAGCTATGAAAAGATCAGATATGGAAATTATACTCTCAGCATTAAGGCCATCAAGCGGCAGCACTTTTAGGGAAATACCCGGGGAATCTTAACAGAAAATGAATACTCCTCTGTCACACTTTTGCTGTATAGAAGGTGACAAAACCCATATCAAAGAACCCCTTGGGAAGCACAGTTCCACCTGTGGGAACCTCTACATGAAGCCTTTTCTGTTAGGCATTTAAACACAAACCAAGACAGGAAAACCAGGAGAGGGGAGCAATCCAATGCAGGGTCACCCAAAGACCCACAGCCCCAGCAGCATCTCTCCTCCCAAGCCACCTCCCAGGCAGTGACCAAGAGCTGCTGTGCCCTAAAAGCAGGTGAAGGAGAAGGAGCAAAGCAGGAACTTGGGTCACTGAGCCATCAGCAATGCAGGAGGAGCTCCCTGGTCCTCTTGTCTGGGAGGTGGGAAGCCAGGGCACTGATGGCAAAGGGTAAAGATCACACTGAATGGATGAAGATGCTTCCCTGTAACTCAAAAAGCAAAGGGCTGTTCCATCAGAAAAGACATCTAGGACGAATGCAGGTCGCCTGTGCTGGTGATGCCCATTTGTGGCTGCTCTATGCTTACCCTAAACTCAAATAACACACCAGGCATGATGCATAACTCAGTACATCCAGAACGTTCATTGCTGGGAAACAGAATGTTCCTTGAAAGAGTCATGGCTGTAAAGGTAACCTGAAGCACAGCTCAGTGAGCCTGCTCTGCAGGACACGCTTCCCGTGTCACCCCATGGTACAGGAGGGTCAGCTCCCCATCAAACACCTTGTATGTACAGCGTGTTCTCCAAGGGAATCCAGAGTGAAAATGAACCAAACACAATCCATGTCACATCAAAGACCAAAGGAGGACTTTGCATTCACCCAGCTCACTGAATGCCAACCGGAAGCTGGGAAATCACTGCTTAATTTTAGCTGGAGAGCCCATTACAAAGTGCTGATGTCTCACTTCAGCGTCTGCATTATGCAGAGACCACTGCTGTGCTGGGGGCTGGAGGAGGCTGGGAATTGCTGAGGAGCAATTGCAGTGGTAATCATTTTCCTGAAAATAAGAGTTAGGAACAGGCGGAGTTTTCATTAGTCTTAATTGAACCCACTGCAAGTGCATTGTTAAATAGTCTGCTTTTATCCAGGTACCTTTCAGACCAACCCTCCTTTTAAGCACCTATTCAACTTACTATTAATAAAGCACGACCTAGTCCAGTATAACTAGCTGATGAAACAGGAAGGGGTTAGGATTTTCCACATTATTCTGGCAAACCAATCTGTTCTGTTGAGATACAACCCAAAAGTGTTCGTGTGCAAAGCCTTCTGTAAGAACAGACAGTTAAATAGATGTCAGAATCTTCAAAAGTCACCCTGAAAGGCATCAACTACATGCATAAAGATAATTCCATCACCACAAAAGGTAACTCAAATAGGAGAGCGCGTTTTGCTAGCAAACATCTGCACTCAACCACATCAGCATCTCACAAGACAATTCACCAGCCACAGCAGAGCTGTTGCTCTGCAGGAGGGGCTGCAGTCGTACAAATACAGTGATAATTTAAGGGACTCTGAGCTCAAAAGTCATTAAGGCTCATTATTCCCTCTCTAGTGAACCCCTGGGTTCTACAGACCCATTGAGCAGCTCTAGGAAAATGACCTTTCCATCCAGACTGACACCAAGCTCTGGGGATCAGCACCCTCCACTGCTCCTCATCAGGCTGGCTTGTGCTTGCGCTGCCTTTACAGGGCAATCCTGACCTCCCTTCATTTAATAACTGCAAGGACAAGCGAGGTCCCACGCAATTTTATTACCACCACCATCACTTCTTGTATGTCAAGACCCCAACAACTGTAACAGCACGACATCGATGGCTTAATGAACCCTTGAGTACTGCCAATACCTTGACAAATGCTACAAACCTCTTCGGCCCAGCCATTTGCTGAAGTGTTTTTCAAGAAGCTTGCCCTTTGCTGCTGGGGAATGCCCTACATTGTCACCATGCATTCTGCTAAGTAGCTTTCAGAAGCTGCCAAGGCTTCTGAGGTTGCCAAGGCTCACGCACAGCCCTGCAAAAACAACTCCACGCTCCTCCGCAAGGCTTCTGCAACCAGGCTAGCACCAAGCTGCGTAAAGCAGCGCTGTTCAAGCACCATTAGAAGCACCCTCTTCAACAGAGCTGGCTGGGAACAGCAGTGTTTTTGGGGAAATGTAATGATTTCATTCTATTTCTGTTTAATAATTGTTCTCTTTCCCAATGCGACGCTAACATCGCAGAAGGCAGAGCTCCTGCTTCCTCAGTTGAATATTTTTTCCCTCTGACATTTGTTTCAGTTAAAATAACAGATTTGCAGGAAGAAAAAAAAAATGCAGAAAGAAAATAACGTTGATGATCCACCCTCCGTTTCCACGTAGGACTTGGCCCTTCCATCCCTGTGGGGTGCCAGTGCTGCTCCTCCACATAGGGATGTGGTGGGAGCACAGACCCCTTTCAGGCTCCACGTGCACAAGAGCAGCCCAAATTACTCTTTTCCTAACAAGATAGGTCCTTCTGCCCATATTTTTGTCTACTGATCAGCAGGTGGAGTTGCAGTTAATGAGAGGGTTGAATCCAACGAGGTTCAGCTCCTTCTACAGTCAAAAATCCTATACCAATACATTGATTTCTTCAGATTGCAGAGGTTATTAGAATACACAGGAGATGCTTGGGAATCCTCTCTGGGCAGCAAGGATGTGTGTACTTATTAATAAAAGTGCTTAGAAAATACTGTTTGCATTGATCCAGAGTCAATTTAAAAACCTGATCTCCATTTTCCTTCCATTAGCCTGGAGGGGAAGGTCTTCTCTGGCCCATGGCCACCAGCATGGCAGCAGGACTTCAGCACTCAGCTGCTGCAGAGAGCCAACAGCTCTTTCTCAGGGCTGAGTTGTGCCATAAAAACCAGGGTTTAAAAGACACGGATGATCAGACCCTTCCCGAAGAGCCTGGGGATGGATGCATGGTGACTCCTACCTGCTGTCCACGGAGATGGGCATCCAGGTGACCTGAGGCTTCCCAGAGCCTGCTCCCCATAGGAGAGACGTGGATCCCTCCGAGCAGCCGGCGCGGTGCTGCCTGCACACTGCTCCACACCACATGAGGGCCAGGCAAGTCCACAGCAGCGCTTTGCAATGCCAAGTGCTTGCAAATGTGGCCGGCATTTAAGCTCTTGCAGTGCTCTGTATCTGATGGATCCTGGCTCCTGCCTTCCCCTCCCCTGCAGTGCCTGCGAGCAGGGGCCCTCAGCAACAAGTGCCAAAGATAACGGGAGGATTTCCCAGGGCTTCAGTTTTCTTCCAGGTGAACCCATGTCTTGGCATCTCCACAAACAGAACCCACGAGGGGCTCTAAGCAGCAGGGCAGCAACACAAGAAAGCATCTCAGTGACTCTCCCACCTGCAGTCACAGTGCACAGAGGCATTATTCTTCACCATGCACATTACCATCAAGCCTGTTTCCCTGGGCTCAGCACCAGAACATTGCCCTTTTCCCCTGCAAGCCTGCAGTCTGAAAAGGGCCAAGAAGCAACAGGGGATGTAGAGCAGGACAGAGAAGGAGGGGGGAAAAAGCCCAACCCGCAGTGGTTTTGCCAGAGCTCCTAAGAAGATGCGGCCTCTTTCAGTCCTCCAGCTAAGGAGCTACAATTATTTCAGTGGAAATGATAATTATTTTACTGGAATTTCACCATTTCTACATGGAACACACCAAGACCCAGAGGACATTTAGGAACAGGGATAACCTTCCTAAGCAACGGGGTTTTGAGCAGCCGGAGAGGCAAAT